GGGATCATGACATCATCAACCCTGAGATCAAGCCCTGTATCGAGCTCTCAGCAGAGAGTCTGCTTCTCCCTCTGCCTCTCCCCCTGCTCATGCTTTCTCTCTCTCAAATAAATAAAATCTTAAAAAAAAAATTAAAGACAGATTGTAAACACTAGAACAATCATGAAAAATATAAAACAAAGAGGTATAGCTAACAAGTCAACAGTATGGGTAAATTGAAGCCATAAAACACACATTCAATTAGTCCAAAAGGAGGCAGAAAAGGAAAGAAAAAAAGAACAGAAAATGGGTATCAAGACAGTAGATTTAAATCCAACCATATTGATGACTACATTAAAAGTAAATGGTATAAGCACTGCAATAAAAGGCAGACATTGCCAGGTTGGATAAAAAAAGCAAGACTCGACTATGTGCTGTCTACAAGAAACCCACTTTAATTATAAAGACACGGGATGCCTGGGTGGCTCAGTGGTTTAGTGCCTGCCTTTGGCCCAGGGCATGATCCTGGGGTCCCAGGATCAAGTCCCACATCAGGCTCCCTGTGTGGAGCCTGCTCCTCCCTCTGCCTATGTCTCTGCCTCTCTCTCTCTCTCTCTCTCTCTCTCTCTGTCTCTCATGAATAAATAAAATCTTAAAAAAATGATAATAATTATAAAGACACATATATTTAAACATAAGAAGACCAGTTCTGAATTAAACCAGCCCTGAGAACCAACTTCTCTGAGGCTCAAGGGTAAACAAAAACATATGCTGCCCCCGCAAACACACAATAGTAAAAGTATGGGGAAACATCAAGCACAATGAAGCTAACTCTAAAAAGGCTGGAGTAGTTACATAAGTATCAAACAAAGAAGATTTCAGAACAGAGATTATTATACCAGAGAAGAAGGGACATTTCAAAATATTGAAGGAATCTATTCACAGCAAGGGAATATAACAATCCTAAATGTATAAAAACTAGTGGCACAGCCTCAAAATATGTGAAGCAAAAACTAATAAATGAAGACTTCAACATCCCTTTGTCAATAACTGACAGAAAAATCAGTAAGGATGTAGGAAACTTGAAATAATCAACCAGTATAATCTAATTGCCATTTATAGACTACTCAATCACTGCAGAAAAATCTTTAAATGCACACTGAATATTTATCAAAACAGACCATAGTTTATCCCACAACTCAGGTCTCAATCAACTTGAAAGTGTTAAAATCATACAAGAAAATATTCTGATTACAACAAAAGTAAACCAGGTATCTGTAACACAAAGATACTTGGAACAACCTCAAATATTTGGAAATTAAGCAAAACACTTCAAAAGAACCCATGGGTCAAAGTAGAAATCACAAGTGAAATTAGAAAATATCTTTAACGCAAAGAAAATAAGAATATAATATCAAAATTTGTGGGATGTAGCTGATACAGTTTATAGAGGGAAATTTATAGCACGAAATCAAGGAATCAAGAAATCAAATCAGTGGTCCTAACTTCTATCTCAATTAACGAAGAACAAATTTAACCCCAATAAAGCGTATGGTAGGAAAAAATAAAGGTGAGAGCAGAAAACAATGATCATAGTGAAAAAATGAAAAGAGAAAAAACAATGAACCCAAAAGCTAGTTCTATGAGATCAATAAAAATGATAAACCTCTAACCAGAAAGACTAAGAAAAAAAGAGAAAATACATAAATTACCGATATTAAGCATAATAATAAGCCAATACATTCAACAACTCAATGAAATCCACAAATTCCTCGTCTGGCACAACTACCAAAGAAGACACAGGAAAACCTGAATACAAATAAGAAAGCTCTAGATCTAATAAGGAAATGAAATTCTTCATTCTTTTTTTTTTTTTTTTTTAGAAATGTAATTCTTAATTTAAAAAGCCTTCCCACGACGGGATTTTTTTTTTCTAAGATTTATTTATTTATTTGAGAGACAGCATGGGTGAGTGAGAGGAGGGACGGAGGGAGAGGGACAGAAAATCTCAAGCAGACTTCCCAATGACTGTGGAGCTCAGGGCTCGATCTCAAGACCCACAAGATCATGACCTGAGCTGAAACCAAGAGTTGGGAGCTCAACCACCTGAGTCACCCAGGTGTCCCAAAGGGATTTTCTTAATACAAATCTAGGTAGCCCTAGATATCTTTGCTGGTAAATTCTATCAGTCATTTAAAATATAAATATAAAATAAAACCAGTACTAGTTCTGTACAAAACTTTCAGGAAACTGCAGATGAAGGAGTATTTTCTCACTCGTTCTATGATATCAGCATTACCCTGATGCCAAAACAGAACACTATTCAGCAATAAAAAGAAACAACTGGGGGTACCTGTGTGGTTCAGTCAGTTAAGCATCTGCCTTTGGCTCAGGTCATGATCCCAGTGTCCTGGGATGGAGCTCCACATGGGGCTCCCTGTTCAGCAGGGCGCTTGCTTCTCCCTTTGACCCTCACCCCACTTGTGCTCACACATTCTCTTTTCTCTCTCTCTCAATGATGAATGAATGAAATCTTAAAAAAAAAAAAAAAAAAGACCAAGAACACCAGAACGCAGCTCTGGTAAAGAAGATGCCTATATCCAGCCCTGTGTGTTTCAAGTGCCTCCTGGACACCAGCGTATGTACCCAGCATACTGTGACTGGGGCCCAGGAAATGCAAATACAGGCGACACAAGATCCCAAGCCTCAAGGAGTTCCTGGCCCAGCAGGGGGCGGGGGGCTTGATGTGCACAACTCAAGTCTCTGCCCTTTCCACTACTGTCTTCTCTGTCATCCCCAGCTCAAGCTCTCTCTTGCTGTCTCTCTCTCAAATAAATAAAACCTTTTAAAAAAAAAAAGAACAACAGATACACACGATACACATATGAATCTCAAATGCATTCTACTAAATGAAAGAGGTACACTCAAAAGGCTTCGACTGTATGATTCCATTAATATAACACTCTGAAAATACTACAGGAACAGGAAATGATCAGTGGTTGTCAGGGGCTGGGGGTCAGGAGAGAGGTTAACTACAAAGCAGCACAACGGAACCTTCAGGAGCCGATGACGGAAATGTTCTATTGGACTGCTGTGGTAGTTGCTCAAAGGTATGCATTTAGCAAAACTCCTACAACTACACCAAAAAGTAAATTTTGTATGCAAATTAAGCTTCAATAAATCCTACTTTAAAAAAATTATAATATATCCATACAATCATATGTTACACAATCATTAAACAAATAAGATTATCATATATGCTGATAAGAGGATAATCTCCAACATATATTGTTAGGAATAAAAAACAAGATACAAAATAATAAGTATGTGATATTTCTATTTATGGTACTACTGGCAGTCTCTGGGGCAGGGATTTGGAGCAGGAGTGTATGCCCTTTTACATATTTTCAGTTATTATTTAACCATATGCTTGTATTACTTTCAATTAGAAAAAGCCAAAAAAACAAACCACATCTATATCCAGGTCAAGGAAAACTCACAGGCATCTGGTCCAGGGGACTGAGTCAAGTAAGCCCTAGAAAACATGTATAAGGACATGGAACATAGCACCAGATACTTTAGAGCTGCTCAATAAATAGCTGGGGGAAGAAAGTTATTTGGAAGCAAGTTGGAAGGCAGACTTAGACAGAGATCCCTATCTGGAAACCAGATATTCAGCCAGCAGACCCCCGTTTTTGACAAGGAACTAAGCTTGATCACTCACATTAGAAAAAGAAAAGGAGTGGGGTGCCTGGGTGGCTCAATAGGTTAAGAGTCTGACTTTGGCTCAGGGTCCTGGGATCGAGCCCCGAATCAGGCTCCCTGTTCAGTGGGGAGTCTGCTTGTCCCTCTCCTGCCTCTCCCCTGGCTCATGCCCTCTCTTTCTCTCTCAAATAAATAAAATCTTTAAAAAAAAGAAAGAAAGAAAGAGAGAGAGAGAGAGAGAGAGAGAGAGAGAAAGAAAGAAAGAAAGAAAGAGAAGAAAGAAAGAAAGAAAGAAAGAAAGAAAGAAAGAAAGAAAGAAAGAAAGAAAAGAAAGAAAGAAAAAGAAGCATAAAAACCACATATTCTGGATTTACTTTCAGGCAAGCTGTTTCTCAACACTCCTCTGCAAGCACACTATGTGCCCTAACCTCACCCTGCTCAGGCATGGATGCAAGCTGTTCCCCCAGTGAACAGATCCCACCCCAAGAGGCCACTTCCAGGGCTCCTCTGCGGTCTGAGTCCTACATCCCATCTCCCAGAGGTTCCTGGGCAGTCTTTCCTCCAGCCCCTCTAAGTCAGACACTACAAGAACTTTCTGAAGGAACAAAATGACCCCGACAGTCTCATTGCACTCCAGGCTGCAGACAAACCCATCCTGGCATGTCAGGACCTTCTCTACACTACAGCTTCATGGAAAGAAAACTCGAGAGGAAAAAAATAAAAAGAAAACTCGAGAGGAAAAGGCAGATATGTAAGCAAGGCCCCTCAGCAGTGTGTAAAAGGAACTCCCGGGGTTTGGCACAGTTTCTTTCAGCAGGCCCAGTATCAGGAAATCAGGAACTCCAGAATGCAAGATGGACAATGAGAGAAGGTGCTGGAACAGCCAGCCTCTGAAACTCTTCTTTGTTTCTTGCTTTATTTGGGTATGTGTCCCTGAAGCCGGGTAGTTCTGATACTACAGCTCGGCTCGGAGCTTCTGTGCTGGGTAGCCTTGTCTGGCTGACTCCGGGTACCTGGCTTCCAAGGAGCAACCACACAGGTTCGACCCGTTCCCTCCCCTCCAAAGAAACAGGCTGGCAGGTGTAAGCTCCCAGAGGCAGGACAGAGTACGGTAGAGCAAGGACATAGAGCAGGACTGAGGTAGGAACCAACCCAAAACAAGTCCTTTCCAGGCACCCCTGGACTCAAGGACACAGTGAGTGAGTTACAACAGAATCTCGCATGCTCAGAGCACATCACTTATGCAGCATTGGGGTTCTGATTCCTGGGCCACGGACCAGGCCGTCTGGGCGGTGGAAAGAAACAGAAGCACTTACCGGGGAAAGATGGCAGTCATCAAGGCCGAAGCATAGCCAGGCTTGCAAGCTCCCTCTGAAAAGTTTGCGTACTTGGTGGCTAACTCAGCAGGCCTATGGGGAGAGAAGGAAAGTCACAGCTTGCCGGGCATGGAGCAGTCAGTGGTGTTCATTCTTGAAGAGCTGTAGGTAAAGAGCTTGAATAAAGCTTCATTGTCTACAATCAGCCTTTCAGCCCCTTTTCCACAACAAGGGTTCAGGGGGAAAAAAAATCCCAAACCAAAAAACCCTAAAGGAATAATAGGTAGATAAATGAGCAAGGCCCCTCTGTAGAATTAGGTCAAAGGGGGCGCCTGGGTGGCTCAGTCAGTTGGGTGTCTGCCTTGGGCTCAGGTCATGATCCCAGAGTCCCAGGATCCAGCCCCAGGTCCGGGCTCCCTGCTTCTCCCTCTGCCCTTCCCGCTGCTTGATCTCTCTCTCTCTCTCAAATAAATAATTTTTTTTTTTTTTAAGATTTAACGTATTTATTCATGAGAGACACAGAAAGAGAGAGGCAGAGACACAGGCAGAGGGAGAAGCAGGCTCCACGTAGGGAGCCTGACGTGGGACTCGATTCCGGGTCTCCAGGATCATGCCCTGGACTGAAGGCGGCGCTGAACCACTGAACCACCCGGGCTGCCCTCAAATAAAAAAAAGAAAAAAAATCTTAAAAAAAAAAAAAAAAGAATTTGGTAAAAGGAACTCACTGGGTTTTGCACAGATTCCTTGCAGCAAGCTCAACTCAACACCAAGGACGTGAGGAACTCCGTCCAGGCTCCTGGACAAGGCACATGGAGCCTGGACACCCAGGGAGAGAGCCGCCCAGGCTCTGACAGTCACGGGCACTGCCCTTCCAAGCCTCATCGGGGGACCCGACACGCCGGCCACGCCTGCCTCTGCTCTCTCCACACACACACAGTGGCAACCACTCTCAGGTGCCTGAGCGGAGTCAGACAATGTTGGGGCTGTTGCTGTAACAACTAGATGTTTAGTTGAAGACGTTCTCCTGCTCTCCTATCCTCTCTGCCTGGAATGTTCTTCATTATCCCTCACCACCTGGCTCTGCCTACGCGTCCTTTGCAACCGAGCTCAGATCTCAACCTTCTTCACTGGAGTCCTGCCCTGACCCTCAGGTGGGGCTAAGTGGCTCCCCGTGCCCCATGGCCCTTGCCCCTGCCCCCCACATTACAGGCCCAGCCCAGAGGCGCTGCCACACGCTACTGTAATTGCCGCTAGTATGTCTGCCCCCCTACACTGTGCATTCCCACGGCCGGGGCCTGGTCTGATCCTGCATCCCCACGACCTTGCACAGAGATGGGCCCACAGAAGACGCCGAGAAAGTTTTCTGAAGGAACAAAATGACTCTGATACAGTCTCACTGCGCTTGTCCTGAAAAACAAGACCACCTGGGGAGCCCACAGTTCAGAGTGTTTGCTGACCATCTGCGGAATGTTTTTCTGAAGACGTGGGTGTTCTAGCCCTGGCTTTGTGGCTGCGACTACAGTCATGTCACTAGGGCGTCAGTGTCCTTATGTGTTTGATGAGGGGCTGGAGTCATTGCCATGGGCCCAAACCCCTGCCAGTGCAGTCTGGAGAGAAGCACGCTGGGACAACAGGACACACGCAGGGGCTGTGAGGCTGGAGGCCGTGCGTGCTGGGGCACCTGAGGGAGCCCTGGCGGGGTGCCAGTCCCTGGGCCCATCCCCCTGCCCCCCCTTGGGCCCACGGCCAATGCTGCTCTGCGGCACCGGGGGCCCCCTGGTAGGTCTCCCCTCAGGGCTGCCTTCTGCAGGAACTGGGTGCGGCAGGGGCAGGGCCAGCGGGGAGGGGGCTGCCGCCCACACTGGCTCTCCAGAAACCACAATGTGTCTGTGTGATTCACTCATGTGCCCCTGCGGGTCTAGCCCAGGGCCCTGCGCAGAGTAACTGCTCACTCAATGTAGACAAACTCTTCTGCATCCCTGTGTCCCTGCTTCTAGAAATCTACTTTTTTTTTTAAGTCTTTCTTACCAAAGAAATGTAAAGCCAGAAATGCAAATGCCAATGCCAAGGGCTAAGCCAGAGTTAGAGACTTTATTTGGTAGGCAAAAGAAAGTCAAAGGTAGGGATCCCTGGGTGGCACAGCGGTTTAGCGCCTGCCTTTGGCCCAGGGCGCGATCCTGGAGGCCCGGGATCAAAACCCACGTCAGGCTCCCGGTGCATGGAGCCTGCTTCTCCCTCTGCCTGTGTCTCTGCCTCTCTCTCTCTCTCTGTGTGTGTGTGTGACTATCATAAATAAATAAATAAAAATTAAAAAAAATAAAGTCAAAGGTTTAACAAGAGAATTTATGTAACAGTACTCTCTTATGTAAACAACTGTTATTTCCGAAACAAAATACAAAACTTCGGGACAATTCATGAACTTGCGGGAAGCCCTCAGACAGGGCACGGTGACTGAAATATAGATTTCGTTACTTCTTCAGCAGCCATGTGAGTAGGTGGCCAGGAGTTATCAATTTACACATGAGCTCAGAAAAATGAAGACACCTAACCAAGATCAGAAGGCTCGTCAAGTGGCAGCCTTGGTAGACTTGTGCAGTGTGGATCACAGAGGGAGGCACGGAGTCCTTGGCTAGCACAGAAGTGGTGAGGGCTGGTGGGGAGGGGCAGAGAAGAGGGCCACGAAGGCCTCACACCGCGCTCTGAAAGTACGCCCCAAGCACCGAGGTGTCCTGAGTCCTTCATATCCCTGTCTCCCAGTCCCCCACCATCTGTGGGCCTGCCTTCTAACTGTGGGTTTCTGTGTTCTTTCTGAATTCCAGAAGTTTCACATTGAAGACAGAAATGTATATACAACAAGAGAAAAGCCTGTGGCCACATCTTTCCTCTCTCCAGTTTATACCATCAACCTGTGGCAAGGTGCTTCAAGGATTAAGGGCCATGGGCAGTGTTGTGCCCAAGATTGCGAATCCGAGAAACCACCAAGGAGCCGACACCGATGCAAGCGCATGAGGGTTTATTAGCAAGCTCGAGCTTGGGTCCAAGTGTACCCGACACCGTGGTGCAGGGACTTTGACCCCGAGGTGGGTTACAGCAGGGTTTTTTATGGGCTGGTCTAGGGGATTTTCAGAAGGGGTGGAGGAATTTTTCTTTTTCCATTCCAATATGGGAGCAAAGGGTGGGGGAGTCTCTTAAGATCTGATATGGGATTCTCTGAGCTCTGTTGTCTTTCTGATATGGGATTCCCTGCCGAGGACATTCTGAGCTTTGTTCTCATTCTAATATGGGGCTTAATTGAAGTAAGGTAAAGTTCAGCTCTTATTCACAGGGCCTGAGATGGCTGTACCTGTGCTAACACTGAATTTAAGGTGGAATGGCCTTAATTTTTCTCGGCCTCCACAGGCAGTCCAAGGTCGGAGGACTCAGGTAATCTCTCATGGGGAAGAGGGGGCACTGGTCAGATGGGGCATGGGGAAGCCAGAACCCACCCAGGAAGGCTCTTCCCATGAGAGCGCAAGGTAGCCAGATGTGGAGGATGAGCAGCTCTAAATCAACCCCCCATTGAGAAAGCAACAGTAATTCCTAAAACATACAGCCCGGGGGACAGTGGGCCAGGTCAAGTTATTACCAAATTAAAATGCCTTAGCAATGGCCTCTGACTACCCCAGGGAGAGAAGAATAGGGGGAGTGTTGGGGAGTCTGAGTCATCCAGCAGGCTGGGACCTCTGGGGCAGTTAGCGGTCAAAACCACCAAGATTAACAGTCGCCAACTCCCTCAGGCCAGAATAGTTAGTTTCTCTAAGGCACTCACACTCCAAATGCCAGGAGGGCCCCACAGATGTCTGATCAAATCATTCAGCCCTTGTTCTTCTCATACTCTCCAGCTGGCCTTTCATTTTGGGAGATTTAGCATTTCAACCAGTAAGAGCACTCATTGTCCTGCAAACGTGACTACCAAGCCCCTGGGGTGAAGAGTGTGAACCACTGCACTCAAGAGGAAATCCAGATAGACAGACTGGAACCCAAGAGAAGGAACCACACTTCCACTCAGCTGCTGCAGCCAGGAGCACGGGGTTGAAGGATCAGGCCAGGCAACGGGTGGCAAATGGGAAGAGCATAGGATCTGGAATGAGAAACTTTCACAGAGGACACTGGCACGTTGTGTGACCTTGGGCAAGTAATGGAAAATCTGATTCTCAAGCTTCCTCATCTGCAAATGGGAACCACTTAATTCCCAGGGATCTTGGGAGGATGTGGTGAGAAAGCACACTTGGAGGGGCTGGCTGTCCTCTAGAGCACCACACAAAGGCTATGTGAACCATGAGGTGGAAGAGGCAGGCATCCAGATCACGGAGACTGAATGCTTCGCTCCAGTTTGGATCCTGTCTTTGCAGAGGGTCACTGAATGATGGCCAGTGGGAGGGAGCATTTAGGGATCAATGTTTGGGAGGTGAGGAGGCTGAGAGAGGCTGGAAGGGGCAGTGCATGGGACAGAATACTCTTCTGGAGAGAGTAAGTAGGTGCTCTGTCAGTTGCCAAAGGTGAGGAAGTGTCCCAAGAAGGACAGAGGAACCAACTGCAACAACACACTGGAGGGCCTCTGGTAACATGTGGCCACTGGCTTAAAAGCTGTCTTTGGCAATGGGGAGGTCACTCCTGACCTTGACAAGAGCTGGTTCACTGGAGAGTGGGGGTGAAATGCTGATTGGCTTTAAGAGAAAACAGAAGAAGTGGGGTCACGAATAGAGACCATGGTTTTTGCTATAAAGGGAGACAGAGAAATGGAGCAACAGCTGGAGGGAGGAAGCAGGGAAAGATGTTTTTGAGGTTAAAAGACAGTTGAGCATGTTTCTAAGTTGGTTGGAATAAGAGGGAAACTCCTGATGTGGCAGAGATGGGACAGTTGTAGGACAAATGTCCTCGAGGAGGTGGCAGGGGGGTGGGGGTGGGGTGGAGAAAAGGACCCAATACAAAGTAGGAGGGCTGGCCTTCCTCTGCTCACCCTCCACCATGGCCATCTTTGCAACATTCGGTTAAGCACCATTCCCATCCCCAGCAGAACCAACCCACCTGCCTGAAGACCCCATTTCGCCCAG